ATCCTTTATAATCTCTCATTTAACCCTTTTTAAAAAATAAATACAGCAAAAGGCTTGCCTAAGATCACACAGCATAGGAATCTCTGCTTCTCAAACTACAACTGGCTCATGTGTGTATTTGTGTGTGTGTTCCGTATCTAGGAACTGGCCCATCTGGTCATGGGACATACTTCCTGTCCCACCTGGGATTCTTGGCTCTGGCTCCTAATAAACATGTTAAATATACTCCAGCCCAAATAGAACACAATGATTTCTGGGTTTGCCTTTCCAACACATCAAAGTCAAATTCTCGGAGCTTGACCACTCACAAACAACTAATGAATTTCTCGGATTTTTTTTTTTACATACATATGAAAAGCATAGGTAATTTCAGGTTTGCATCCTTGAACAATTGCTTCCTGTTCTCTTTTCCAGTGGGTTTGGAGTGATCTTTCATATCACTGCATATATGATATTTATTGACCCCTGACCCCTGACCCTTGAGAGGCCACCGTTTCTAGCATTGCAGGGGTTTCTATACATGGACTATAACATAAGCTTTAGAGCCCCTTTTTCCTATAATTCTATCATCTGGAACCATGCAATGAAATTCACCTCACGTACTCCTTTATAAGGAGTGGGCAACTCCTTAGAAAAAGCCCCTTCTGGTATTTGACTTGCTGTGTCTTTGAAAGAGACCCCAAACTAACCAACTCACACAGAATTGTGTTATCTTACAGCACGATGCATGTGTCTATGTTTGTGTTAAAAATATACTGCTTCGATTGCAACCATGATGGAACAGATGAGCTCACTGCAATCTACTCTCTGAACATCTGTTAGCCTCAGCAGGTGGAAGAGGTCATGTTAAATGGCAGATATGTTAAAATACTTGCTCCCCAGCTCTGAGATCTGAGCACAGACTCAAAAGTGTTTTCTCAGCTTTTGCCTACTAGTAGCCTAATCTCCATCCACACTTAAACTGGTCATGAAAGACGATTCAGAGAATTTAAATTATCTTATCACTTCTATAAACTCTGCTCCTTAAGATATTGCTAGTGATTTGTGCATTGCCAAGGACCTACTTTTCAACCTTTGCTTCAACACACTGTGTCAGACCACAATTTGGTGCTGTTTAAATCTTTAGGAAGGCAGAAATAGGAGAAGGAAAACATTCCTCCTCCCTTCTTTTTACCTGATTTATCAGATTACACTGATTAAATTCATGGTTGACATTAGCGCTTACCTTTGTTTCCACTTCACCAATACAAGTTAGAAAGTGAAGCTTTTAAAACCAAAATATGTATGCTATTTTCCAAAGGTGAACCCCAGGTAGGCCTGGGGCCTGCCAGCAGCCTGAGGAACAAGCAATCCCAAAGGCAAGGAAGAGAAGGCTGTGGAATTCCTCGGCCAGAATTTCACACAACTTTACAAGCTTCTTGAGAGTTGTAAATTTACTAAACATATAAATCATTATAAAGAAAAAAATTATTTTATCCTGCCTGTTAATCTAGATAGAGACTGCCCTTTTATGCCCCAAATTCCTTATAAACATTAGTGCCAATGGGGTAGCATGAAAGTCCACTCCTAGAATTTGGAATAAGGCTATCCGCTTCATGAGTAAGACTTGGTAAAGAAAACAGAAATTATAAGCCATTTGCAGAAGCAGCTCACCTCAAGAAATGGGCTAAAAACAACACCTGGCTAAAGAGATTTAGAGAGAAAACCCAAGGAGGTGACTGGTTGTCTCCTAGGGACATCAATGTAATTTTTTCTCAGTAAGCTTCCACAGAACAGTGAACTAGTTGATAAACTCATCTTCCTGCATGGCACACAGGGTCTTTATGAGAGATGACTATAATTAATGAAGAAGCTTAAATCTCTCAGATGTTGTGACATTCAGCCCAATTTCATTTTACTTATTCCGTTCTGAATCAAAAAACTACCTCTTTTTGTGTTGACATGCTTGGGCTTGCTTCACCTTAACTCCTCATCCTCCCTGCTTTCATAAAACTGTTCCAGATTTGCTCAAATTTTTCAAGCTGCAATAGGCCAAGACTTCCTCTGTTTTCAGTGGTTCTCAACTTTGATTGCATATTAGAATCACCTGGGGTGCTTTTAAAATGCACAGTAGCCAGGCTGTACCCCAGAGCAATTAAATCAGAATCTATGGGGGCGGGACCCCAGGTATTAGCATTTTTTAAAGATCCTCTGGTCATTCCAACGTGCAGCCAAGATTGTAAATCACTGTTTAGTTATTTCTCTATTGTAGGAAAGCACTGCCTTTACCTTTCGCTGTGTCCTGGAACCAACTTCCCAGGGCAGCTGTCCTTCTTTCCTCCCAAAGGATGTTTGTGGTCTAGCCCACAACACCTGCTTTTACCTACTATTCCTTAATCCCCAACTATGAAACTCCCAACCACCACCCCTCATTCTCCAAGGCAGCAATGTTATACCAAAAAGTTAAAACTCATTTGTACTGCTATAGATGGCAGGCACTACCAGCCACAGTGACTGCCTCAGAATCCCGGTGGGTGTTAAAGTCATCCTAAATAGATTTCCTTCGACATTTCTGTTAGTACTATAACACAATGCCCAGAGATTTCTCCAGTAAAGGATATTTCTAGAGATTTCTAGAATGCAGCTCTCTCTCAGCCATAAACAGAAACATGATTTGAAAAGTCTTAGAGGATGTTGACTTCTCAGCCGGGACACTGATTATCCAGATCTCTCCAGGTGCTTTCAGTACAATTGTATTCTTAAAAAATCAAATTCTGCAGACACAACAGAAGGATGAACTTGTATATAGGTTCCCAGGCACGAGCATGCTCCTGGCTTTGGACCCCTGAGGCAAACACATTTTTCACAGCAGGAAAGGCCATGTGGTACAATGGGGAAATTGCAAGTATGTGGTAAAACACTCCCAGGTCTCCTGAGAAACCCACAACAGGCATATTTGTCCATTCAGTCACAAAACTAGGCCAGCTCTTCATGTAACCTTACACGTCGATTAGAGATGGACCTATTTGATGGGAACGGTGTGAACATTTAATGTAATACAAGCAACAACCAAAAAAACTAAATACTCTACCTGGGTTTAAACATCAGCTTTGCTTCTTTCCAGCAAAAATTCAGTTTTGCCTGAGTTATCAATAATGATAACTATCTAGCAGCTCTTCCAGAGCTTGTGGCTCGTGCCTGGTATATAAACTAGAAGCTCAATGGCTCTTATTTGTTGCCACCCCTTTTCCTCTTTGCATCTCATCTTCTAAACACTGTAGACAGCAATGAATTGTGTTTAGAATTCTTGACTAAGGATAATGGAAGAACTAAGCAGCTTGCCTTGTGCAGAACCCAAACTCCCTAATGCTCCCCTTTGTTTTCTGCCAGCCTCTTCCTTCAAAGTCAGAACCCCCTGAGGACAGATGCTGAGTATGAGGATCATTTTTTCAACTTTGCAAATAGACACTTACCTTGGGTCAATAACATGGTATTACATTTGCTAAGTTATAAACATCAGATTCACTTTAGGACGTGACTTGCCCTACAATTTTTGTGCTTAGTGATGAGGCCATATTGTAAGACTGCAATCTTCACCTCTGTGAGCTGTTACTTTAAAAACTGGAATGCTTTGGTTGGAGTACACCACACACATATAGAATTTGAGATTAGAATGTTAAAATAACCCTATAATGGGCCTATACTTATGCTAAGAGAGAGTGTTGTTTGGGATTCAACAAATTCAGCTTATTCATTTAGTGTTGAAATAGAAATGTCAGCAGGACATTTCTTGAAGAAATATGTAACAACAGTCAAAAATAGCCACAAACCCCAGAAACTATGTACCCATTAGTTTAGAATATGCTTCTCTTCTAAAGACACATTCCTCAAATTCAGGGGGTGTAGGGGGGAAACCCTCAGAAGTTATGCTGTGCTACTGAATGCTCTACATGAGTAAAAATGTGTTTAAACAGGCTTCCAAGATTAGCTGTTTGTTGCTTGTTTAATTGATCTGACAAATGTAGATCACATTGGCAGGGTCAAAGTCTTGTGTCTGCCTGGGGCAGAATGCCAAGTAAAAACAAATGGTTATTAAATGCTTTTGATCACGTTGAAGGTGGCTCTTTTGCAAAATCAAAATATCTTTGCCTTGCTACTACTGCAGTTCCTCTTAAGCTAAATTTACTTTTCTCATTGTTACTCCCACTACTGTTTTTACCAGTGTAGAAACACTTCAGTTTTTGTTTTCTTTTCAGACTTTCGAAGTGCTTTCACTGCTCCTTTTATTTGCCATAGATTTACTGCATAGGCAGGAAAGCTTACTCCTGGAAAGAATGTCCCTTTGCCCTCAAACCCATTTCATTCTTGGGTAAGACTAAATGGTAAAGAAGAATCAGTGAAGAACCAAGATTTCATTTTTTACACAGTGAGGCAATGTCACAAGGGCACATCCTCCTTCTAGAGCCGATTCCTTCTGTCACACTTGCCTGTGTTGGGGGGATGCTTATGACACTGCCTTCTCACAGGGCGCCTGGAAAACGTTCCAGCTCTCATCCTGGGCTTGTCCCCGAGCTGCGCTAGGAATGGTCCCTCATGGGCATTTCCTAGGATCCCCTTCAACTTGGCTATGACTACCCACTCCACCCCACTCCGCCCCCATCCACATCTTCCTCAAGGCTGCCAGAACTCTGGTGGTGGGTCTGCAGTTCGGAGGTCCCACTACTGTCGCGTCACAATTATGACCAGCATTGTAATGTGCTGGCAGGGGGCGGAGGTGGGGTACAGGTACCGCGTCTAAAAGCATGGGATCACCGAACCCTGCTCTTTTAAGGACATGGCCCTCCAACCAGGGCCCACCAAACCGTCCCTTACGACACATGCAGAGGGTGCATCCCCGATCACAAAGCCAATGTCATCAGATGCACCTCTTCAGCCACCGAGAGCAAAAGAGCTAGTCCCCCAGCTCCGTAATCCCTGTATCGTAGACCCGCGCCCACACCGTCCGCGGCGCCCGCACGTACCCACGTCGCCCAGGAAGCAGCCGTCAGCGACCCCAGGTTCCATGCCGCTTGCTGCCACGCGCCCCCAGCTGCGTCTCCCGGTGACTCTTCGTGCCGGGGCCAAGGGCTTCTGGCAGAGATGGCCGCGAGCGCCGGGAGTTGTAGTTCCCCGGTGGTGGTGGCGCGCCTCGCGGGACTCCGGGCCAGCGCCGCGTCGCGGTCATCTGCGTCCAACTTTGCTGTCGCTGCCGCCATGCTTTGCTGGGCGAAACACGTCCGTGTGCAAAATGTGTTCACGTGCAAAACGTGCCGGTGTATCCATGTGCAGAGCGTTGTCCCTGTGTCCAAGTGCAAAACATGTGGCGTGTGCAAAACATGTGTCAACGTATCCATGTGGAAAACGTGTCCAGCTGCTAAAACATACTGCCATCCCTTGCACTGATCGCACTCAGCAAAGCTCCAGAGCTCCTCCCTGTTTTAATTTTAATGATGACCTTCCTACTAGAGCTGACGTGTTACCTGTTTCTTTTGAGAGGAAGTCCTCAATTCCACATCATTCACATTCATTCAAAAAACAAGAACAAAAACAAAACACGCCCTTCCAAGTCTCATGACAGAAATGAATACACTGTTTCCAAAAGACTCCAAGTTAACAGTTGAGTAAGGAAGCTTTCTTTCTTTCTTAAAGCACCCTGACCTGACCTAAGCCTAAATGTAGAATTTAGTTTGGGCTGGAAAGTAAAAATATCAGGAATTGTCAGGTCTGGGAACAACATAAGGACAAGCAGACGGCAGAACGTTTGATGGGTCACGCGGGCAGAGTCTTCCCCAGAGTACTTTAATGTCCAGTCCAGACAACAGGCGCTGTATTTAGCAGGGTTTGAGCCCTGTCAGAATCCATAGATGCTGTGAATGGAGAACCCCAGGCCTAGGAATGACATTTCATGCCTATTAGCAGTGTGTATTTGTACCGTTTTTGCCACTTGTCTACCCAAATTAGGCTCTTGAATTTTCTTTGCAAGTTTCTTTACTAAATGGGGTACATTTTTTTTAATTAATACGTTTGGGATATTATGTTTTCCCCATGGCAATACCATGTGCTTGTGTGTTTGTATTTTCTTTCCTGACAGAGTGTCTAGATCTGAGTATAGGTCATATGTTTATATTTATATATGTATATATCATATATATTTATAAACAGTACAGCCCTAACCAGTGTGGCTCAGTTTGTTGAGCATCCACCCGCCTGTTCAGTTCCAGGTCAGTTGCCCATGCTTGGATTGTGGGTCCAGGTCCCCAGCCGGGGTGAGGCACACATTGATGTTTCTCTCCTGCATTGATGTTTCTCTCCCTCTTTATCCCTCTCTTCTCCTCTCTCTAAAATAAATAAATAAACAAATCCTTAAAAAATTTATTTAAAAAACAATACACATTTATTTATATTTCTATACTTAAGTCTATGTATATATTCATGCAAGTATTTGCTAAAATATTACAAAGCAAATATTTCTTATTAGTTTATTATGTTGAATTCTTCATTCTGTTGCTCAGTTCAATAATTAATTGCAGAAAAGCTTGTTGAGGTTTTTAGGTATTCAGAAATATATTAGCAAAGTGTTTCTCCCTTGTTTAATATTCAGAATGTATTTCCCCACCAAGAGTCAGAATATGTATATTACTCTGGTTTGTTGTTATTAAGTCTTTTAATTATCTGGAATTTGTAGCAATGGATAGGATCTAAGTTAATTTTTTTCTAAACTGAAACAGAATTAATCCTAAAATGGTCATTAAATAGTAATTTATTTGTCTAATTTTGTGTTAATCTCCTTTATTGCATATTAGTTTATCTTTTTTACTCTTATTAACATATAATTCACATATAACATACTAGTTTCAGGTATACAACACAGTGATCCTATATTTGTATATATTGTAAAATGGCCACCTCTGCAAGTCCAGGTACCGTTTATCACCCACACATAATTACAGATTTTTTTCTTATGATGAGAACTTTTAAGATCTACTTTCTTAGCAACTTTCAAGTATTCATTACCGTATTATTGCTCACCATGCTGTACATTACATCCCCATGACTTATTTTATAACTAGAAGTTTGTCCCTTTTGGCCACTTTCATCCACTTTGTGCCTCCCCCCTCTGACCATCATCAATTGGTTCTCTGAATCTATGAGTTCTTTTTTTTGTTGTTTTGTTTTGTTTTCAAGTCCACATATAAGTGAGATCATATGGTATTTGACTTTATCTTGCTATTTCACTTAGTGTGATACCCTCAAGATCCACCCATGTTGTCACAAATGACAAGATATTCTTCTTTTTATGTCTGAATAATATTCCAGTGGGTGTGTGTGTGTGTGTGTGTGTGTGTGTGTCACATTTTGTTTATCCATTCATCCATTGATGGACACAGGTTGCTTCCATGCCTTGACTGTAAAACTAATGCTGCAATGAACATGGGGATACATGTATCTTAACAAGTTTACATGTTTTCATTTCCTTTGGATAAATACCAAGAAGTGGAATATCTGTGTCATATGGTAGTTTTATTTTAAAATTTTTGAGAAACCTTCATACTGTTTTTCATAGTGGCTGCACCAAATTTACATTCTCACCAACAGTGTACAAGGGTTGCTTTTTCTTCAGTGTCTTACCATTGCTTCGCAGTAAGTTTTTTTTAGAAGTATGAGTCCCTCTATTTTGCAGTTCTTTTTCAGAATTGTTTATTGGCTATTCTGGTTCCCTTGCAATTTGAAATGAATTGTAGAATTAGCTTTTCAATTTCTACAAAGTCATCTGGGAATATGATAGAGATTGTAAGTAATCTATAGATCAGTTGGTGAGTATTGCAATTTTAGCAATGCTAAATCTTCTGATCCAAGAAGATGAGATGTTTTCTCAGTTATTTATATTTCTTCAATTTCTTTCAACAATGTCTTGTAGTTTTGAGAGTATAAGTTTTGTTATATTTTTTCCTAAGTATTCTATTCTTCTGGCTATCATAAGTGGAATTATTTTCTTAGTTTTATCCTCAGATTGTTCATGCAAGTGTGTAAAAATATAATTGATTTCTGTATACTTATCTTGTATGCTGCAACCCTGCTGAATTTATTTATTATGTCTAGTAGTTTTTTACTGCATTCTTTAGGAGTTTCTATATACCAGGTCATGTCATCTAAAAATAGAGATACTTATACTTCTTCCTCTTGTCTTTCTTGCTAAGAAAAAAGATGTTTAATTACTGTGACTTGATCATAAATTATCATTATTATCATTTATGAAAGTTACATAATTGCAGGCTAATCATCTTTAAAGTCTCAAAAAGCCAAATATAAAGCACAAAAAATAAATTTGATTGATGAATGTACTGACATAATTCTTTTCCATGCTATATGAAATCCTAGGAAGAATCATAGCAGTAATTATTCAAAGTAATATTAAAGGTAACACAAGAGATATTTGGTCTTAAATGTAAGTTTAAATGTATAGTATCTACAATAGTAGATCAAAGCTAAACTATATTTGCAATTTCTAACAGAAAAAAATGTTAGTCTGCAAATACTCTGTATTCTTCAATGAAATAAGAAAGCAGATCAAGGATGAACCAGACCACCTTTTAAAGATAATTTTTCAGGGTAGCTAAAATGAGTAATGATAAAGCTCTACACATGTAATTAAATTGTTTGTTATGCTAGAACCAGTAGAGCTGATCCTTGAACAATGCAGGAGTTAGGGGCACCAACCTCCTGAGCAGTGGAAAATGCACATATGCCCTGGCTGGAATGTTCAGTTAGTTGGAGCCTTCCCCCCTACACCAAAAGGTTTAGGGTTCCATCACTGGTCAGACGCTCTCCCTTCCTTTCACTCTAAAATCAATAAGCCTATCCTCTAATGAGGTTTTTTTTTTAAAAAAAACAAACACATATAACTACAGTCAACCCTCTGTATTCCTGGATTCCCAACCTTGGATAGAAAATACTGTTTTAGTCCAAGGTTTGTTGAATTCGTGGGTGTACAACCTGAAAATATGAAGAGCCAACTCTGCATGTATTGAAAAAAAAAAGCTGCATTTAAGTGGATCTGGCCAGTTCAAACCTATGTTGTTCAAGGATTGGCTGTAGTTTTATTTGTAGAGTTTGCAAATCAAAATGTTACAAATAATAATACATTAGTATTGGTGGGAATACCAAATACTATGTCACAAGTGCCACTATGTGCTTCTTCTCTGACATGATCAGCACAGATCCAAGCTTGCTAAGTTTGAGACATTCACTTCTTCTAGTCGACAAGACTATAATGTGCTGTCCCCAAACCTAGCTGTAGATAGATTTTGGTAGACGTTGGTGAAGAGAGATACATTTTATATGAAAATGATGTTGAAATTTCTCCTTCAACATCTGTTTATAACCTTTGGCTGCCTTTTCTTGTGATGTAAGCACACTCAATTTTTCAGAAGCATTAGTTTTCCATAGATGAATGTTCATTTCATCAGATCCACACATAATGTATTGTACTTGCTATCAGAAGTCCATTTTACACAGATAACATATTGCATTCTCTTTGCGTGATATACTTCCCTTTTTCTACTTTTGTCCACAGGAAAGATTCTAATAGATTTGTCAAAACTAGCAGACACAAACTCTTTCCTAGAGGGAGAGTAATTCAGATCAAGGACAACAGATAGGTCATCCGTATGCACCATTACAGGAGTGTCCAGTGCACGCACATCAGAAGTCTGTAAGTTGTAATCTTCGTTTGCTACAGTAAAAATGAAAGCTCCCATAGGGTTTCAACAAATTGTATTTATTCTCATATTTCAGATGGCCTTTTCAAAGGAGTGGCTTGCGTCATATATAGTATTTATTATATCCCTGTCAGGATCACAACTTCCCAAGAGAAATGTCTTGATTGGGTTAAATTTAACACAACTTACGCTGTCAAATCCTCAGGTCATTAACATATAGGACTGATTATTTTTGCATCCCAAATGTCTCCTTGCTGTCCACATGTAGCAAAACTAACTTCTTTTCAGTGTGATCAATTCCTGTATACACCATCTTTCCTAATATTCACTGTAATGGTTCTTCCTCTTCTCCAAAGCCTTGTTCACCCATTTTCCACTGCCTCACAGTTTTGTCATAACCAACAGCAAAAAGGAATTCCCATAGAAATGAGTACGTATCCCTCATAGAAAACCTTTATGTATTTGTATTGTACAGATATAGTTATGTTTGATCAAGTTCCAGATTCTAACCTCTCCATCACATGCCCCAGAAAGGACATTAGCCAGACTCTTTGGATGATTTGGCAAGCAATTGATTCCATCTTGGTGACAACCCAGAGAAGCAAGAAATGATTTTGCAAATACCTGTTCCAGTTTGGTAGTATTTAAAGTCTTATATGTTCTTGTGGGACCTCAAAAGGATATAAGGTAGGATCATAGTTTCTTGGAAGTCTCTGTAAGTACATCTTGGTTTTGCAGATATAGTTGTCCTGGTTTGGGCTCAGCATCTTCACCTTCTTCTTGGCTGCCAGTTCTTGCCAACTCCACGAGCCTTTCCCTTACTCCTTCATTTCTAATCTAGATGTCTTTTATTTCTTTTTCTTTCTTAATTACCATGTTAAATAGAAGCAAGGAGAGCAGTCACCCCTGTCTTGTTCCTGATATTAAGGGAAAAACATCCAGTAATTCTAGTTATTTTCTTTCTTTCTTTTTTTCCTAATCTGTATTATCAAAATCTCTACACCTGGAATGGGGAAACTTACAAAATTAAACATCACTTTTGGATTAGTTATTTAACTTTCCTTTGTTTTTTACAATGACAAATGTGGCTAAATTATGTAAATGATTGATTAGTTTGCACAGATGAAAGTTTTCACTTTGTCCCTGGTATAATTTGCATTGAAATACTTTATGAAATATGAAGGTTCTACTAGAACTAATTTTAGCACATTTCACTGACCAAAGCTATCATATTGACACTTCTTAAATTGCTTAATAGGCTGCATAAATTCTGTTCTGTCTAAATTTTTTTAAAAACAGTCGTCTGCTGGGAACCGTCCTGCCTGGTTTCAGGAACTGTAGCCTAGCCGACCCGTGAGAGGGTTCCAAGGCTGGAGCTAATCAGGATGCCTTGGGAAAATAGGTCACTGAGGAGACAAAACCTATTCCCCTGGCAGAGGCACAGCCCCTGCTTCCCTCACATCACCCTGCTTGGCCCTAGAGGGTGGCTGGTTAGTTAATGACACAGGTAAGACCCCTCAATGGCAGGGACAACCTAAGGCAGACACAGTCACATGGGAGCCATCAAGGAAGGACTTGGGGGACATGGAAGAAGGGAAAAATAACCTCGCCCTTCGGCTGTGTTTTGCCCGAGTCCTCATTCTATCTGAAAGAAGAATATTTGTCTCTTGGCTGCTCTGTCCAGCTGCCTGGCTGGTCAGTGCAAGGATCTAAAGGCAGGTACAGCCCTGAACTGGATCTGGTTGTTCCCATGGGCAATTAGGCCTGAAAAAGAAATGCACTAAATCTTATGAAACTTACTTTGTTAAGAATGCCCTCCAGTTAATGAGTACTGATGCTGGGAACCACTTTATGAGGTATTGGGAATTGTAGCACTGCCAAAGAATACATTGTATCCACTGAAGCTTGCTCTGCTTGGCACTATCCTGATAAGGAAAAACGAGGTGTGTCTGTCTTTTGTGGCAGCAAGGAGATAATTTCTGAGTCCTGAAAACTGTGCCTTAATGAGCATCTGGTGCCAGCTTGTCTGACAGACTTTGATTTAAGACAAACCTCTGTGTTTCTTCAATTTATTATCTATAGTCTTGATGTAGATTGATAGGTTTGTATGCATGCTGTATACCCCTGCTCATATCGTTCTCAATAAAAACCACTTTTAAGGAAGGGCTTGGGGCATTCTCCACTAGAGGAAATGGCCAGTCCCTTCTCCTGACAGGCAAATTGTGTCTGGCACGGTTTATTTCCCCAATTCGTGGTGACCTGGAGGGGCTCTGTGGGCCGGAGTCCAACTTCCCCCAACACTAAGTCTCTCATAAAAATGAAGTGGCAGCATGCAAACTTTCTGAAAGTGAAGGATACCTGTATAACAATGAAAACAAAAGAATAAGTACACAGAAAATCATGAGTCTCACAATTTATTCCAAAGAAATCAGGCACAAAATCACTCGATTTATATATATTTCAAACCACTAAATGATAGAGTTTAGGAATGGTTGTTGGTGCCAATTCCATGCCAACATGAATCCTCAATTTGAGGTGCAGTGAAGAAGGAAACTTTATTCAGTGTAAAACAGCTCAATTGTCAAGGGTGCAGCTATGAGGCAGTCCTGGGGCCAAGCATCTCTCCAGCTAGACAGCTCTGTTCTGTTCCTCCGTGGTCTGTCCTGCTCCTCACTGGTCTGCTCTACTCTGCCCGAACAAAGATGTTACATGTTTCAGCTCAGCCAGGGAAACACAGTCTTCATTGGAAAGGAAAAGTGCATTTCCAGAGCCAAAGAGGAGCTAACTTATGCAGATACCCGGACTGATCTGCCATTGCGCAAATGAGGACTCCAAATCTTTGCAATTTGATTGGCCCACAAGGCACTGTCCTGATTGGTCAGAATAGAGTCATTTCAGTTCATGGGTGAAGAAGCTGATGGAGATATAATTGCACCAGCTCCAGATGGATGGAGAAGACTCAGTATTGACTGAAATAGCATTCCAGGAACTCCCTCCTAAGGGCTGGCTCAGATGGCATAAACAGTGCAGGCAAATGGTTCAGTAGTGGCATGCAGTTCAGCGCAAGCTTCTCCTTGACGTGCAGTTTGCATGAGCAGCCGCTGTGTAAAAATGACTGCTGAGCTTTTTTTTTTTCCCCCTAAATTTGAGCCCAGTTAAGACACTGGGAGCCCTTTTGAGTAGGTACCTTCTTTCTCACGGTCCGCAAAACCTATTTAAAAAAGTAAAGAAGAGATTACAATGGAAGTTAGAGTAGTGGTTAGGTTTGGTGATATGGAAAGGAGGTAGGTATTGATTGGGAAGTGGCATAAGAGGGAGATTCTGGATTTTTGACAGTGTTCTATTTCTCGACGAGGTTGGTGTTTTCATAAACACTTGCTTTGTGATAAATCAGAGATTTATACATTTTGGTTTTGTGTATTTCAAAATATCTGTTATATTTCATTCTCTGCTTCTACAGCCAGCCTTCTTCAGTTCTTGAACACACAATTTCACTTCTAGGGCCTTTGCACTTGCTTTGTCCTCTGCTTGAAAAGCTCTTCCTGCACATCTTCTAAGGACTAGTTTGGTTTGTTTTTATTATTGAGGTTTAACCTGAAATTTCCTTTTCATTGAGATCTTGTATTTCTGCCTCTTCGGCCTCTAGCCTCCAACCCCATCCACCAGCATTTCCAGCTTTTCATAGCAGTATTGTTAAATGAAATTCTTTTTTTGTTGCGGTGGTGATGGCAGTAATTTACACCTGTTTGTCATCTACCTCTAGAATAAATTTAATGATGTGAAGGGTCCTTCCCTAACTTGTACACGACTGTAATCACAGTGCCTAATTCAGCCACAGTAAACAGGAAATGCTATTGGGCTGGCCAAGATGTTCATTTAGTTTTTCTCCCAGATGATGGCTCTAGTAGTGCTTGTCTTTAACTTCATTCAAAACAATTTTGTTAGATTGTATTGTGACAGCTGTCATATCAGCATGCATTTAAAAACTTATAAAAATTGAATTTTTGTGCAGCCATTTTAATATTTAAGATGGAAGAAAATAAGCAACATTTTCAGCGTATTATGCTTTATTATTTTAAGAAAGGTAAAAACCCAACTGAAATCAAGAAAACATTTGTGCAATGTATGGAGAAGATGCCGTGACTGATTGAACACATCAAAACTGTTTTAATAAGTTTCTTCGTACTATTGACAGTCTGGCCAAATAATCATTTGCTCTAAGGCTACCTTATACATTGGAAGATCTTTAGCAGCACCCCTGGACTCTACCCACTAGAAGCCAATAGCAGGAGACAGATGACATACTCAAAATATCCAAATAGAAAAAGCTATTGGTGAAAACGAAAATGTGTCTTTTTACAGAAAAATTAAACAGACATTTTGGCCAACCCAATTTTAATAAATAAATCTTTCTATACCCACCACGTGACACAAAACCTAGTTCATGGTGTTTATAGTACGTAATACCTATCATTGGTAGAATTAACGCTAGCTGTGGTCCTTTCAGCCCTCGGCATAGATGATGAACTTCTACCGGTGTTTCTCAGGGAACTTGAATGGAAAGAAGTGGTACATGGATTTAACATCTATTAAATTAAAAAAAAGGGCCACATTCCGTTGTGTCATTTTGACCGAAACAAAACAAGGGTCATTCCCAGAGCTTCAGCGGGCCACGAAAGGAGAGGAAAAGACACCACTCCTGGAACGACGGAGCCCCCAAAGCAAGCGCAATCCTGCTACAGTGGCATCCAGCAGTCTTCGGGTGGGCGTCTTCCTCATCCCGCGTCGTGCCAGCCCCGCGAGACGACCCTCCAGAACGCTGCGCGCGCCACTTTCATTATCCAATCCCGGAACGTGCTGGGGAACCGCGCCTGCGCAGAGAAGAAAAGAGAGCGCCGCGTGGACGCCAGCTGCCGCCTGCGCTTGCGTGTGGGTCTCTCCTCAGCGATTGGTTTTTACCTCTCGCGGGGTACGCCACAGTTCTGTTTTCACTTTCTCTTCCCCCCCCCCCGCCTCCGCCTCCGCCCCGCCCCGCCCCACCGCCCCTTTCCTGAGGCTGTCGTGTTTTACTTCCGGTTGCCAGCTCCGTCACTGAGAGTCGACATGTTCTTTCAGGCCGCGAGGCGTCTTGGGTTCTGTTCCTTTTTATGTCGTCTCAGGGAGGGACGACGTTTGGCTGACTAGCGCGGCGGGGCTTGAGGGTTCTGAGCCTGGACGCAGGGTCGCGTCCCTCCTGCCTGCGCCTCGGGCCCGCCCTTCAAGGCCGGGGCCGCCTTCCCAAGTCTTTGGCACAAGGGCGGAGAGGAAGGACGTGCTGCGACGTGGTGGGTCCTGCGCATCTCTGACGAGCATGTGCTAACGGGGAGCCAAGGGCGCCCATTAGAAATCCGGGAGGAGGGGAGTACCACAAAAAGAGAACTCAAGGGCTCTTCCGGGAAGGAAGCAAAGAAAGCGACTTATTAACAAGGTCCGAAAAAATATCTCTTGTCACATTTGGCCTCGAGGGATCGGGAGGAAGGAAGCGCGTGTGTGGAGGAGCGGACAGCATATAAAAAAGCATGGGGAAGAAATTGAAAAATAATCCCAAATTCTCGGGGGTGCCGGCAGCACAAAGGACAGGTAAAACTTCCCCGGTGTGGGGGCCTCAGTTTGTGGACCTTTGTAGACACCTGGAAGGAACCAGGAGACCCTGTCCTCCAAAACTAAGGTGCATGGTGTAGCTGTGTTGGGCGTTTGTGGCTTCGCTATTGTAGTTAAAATTTTTCAAGTTGCAATTTGCATGCTTTTTATGAATGATGAATGACTAACGCGTTCTTGCCTGTTAGCCCTGCTCCGGGATGAGTGGGGTCGAAGGGCACGGTGGTTGTCAGAATTGTTTTTGCTTTTTAAAATTCTCCAATTTTCTTTTTTCTTTTTTTTTTTTTTTTTTTTACCACTTATGGCTATTCTCAGTATCATCTTAATTTGTTTCTAGGAAGTCAGCATTTTACAGGTTGGTATGGGGTTTCAAAATTTATCTTTCCCCTTTTTGAGGCAGAAAGTCTAGAAAGGTTTATGTATTTCCTTTGAGTTGTTTGTAAGAGTACAGCTCCATCTTTATGGACATTATAATAAATACTTAGTTGAAACTTTGCTCATTTGGTTTGGACTGGCTGTTTAATTTTATAAGAGGTCCCTATGAATTGTGAACCACAAGTTTCTGTAGATACTTAATATCAGTGCCTGACTCTTACCTCTTTCCTTTTCTCTTTTCCTTTTTTCTTTTCTTTCTTTAGTAGGTATTAAAGGAAGAGATCTATCCATAGGGAGGGTTATTTAGCAAACAACTGAAGTAGCGCGTAAGGAATTCCGTGATAGGTTGGTACGTGCAACCAAACCGCGTTTTTTGGGAGAACTTGCAAATTAAACTCAAAATTTGAGGAAGATACTTTGAAAATCCTCAGGTTTTATTTAGTCACCACTTTTCTATTTGAAATGCAAAAATTTAAATACACCTCTCTGATCCTTCTTTATTCTCCCTGTAAGGTAAAATTAGAATGATAAAGCGTATGAAAATCGGTTTTAGTTTATATTCTCAACTTAAGTGTTGTACAAGTTTATGGTGTTAGTGTAATAATATTAGCCATCTATGGGCCCACAGTGTTCCCCTGAAAAATCATTAAAAAGGAAAAGGGTGTACATATGATATGTAACATTAGTGGATCTGAAATTGGTAGTAAATCTACTCAGGAGGTTTGTAATAAAGCAGATATTCTTTAATAGTGTAAGAATACTCTTTTGTTGAGAAACTGCCTTCTAGTACTGGATAGTACTATATATAGTATGTTCAGTAGATCAGTAAATACCTCACCCAGACAAGAGAAAAATAAAAAGTGACTGTACACAAATATTTTAAGAATGACCAAGAACAGCAATTGAAATTTTGTATTTTCAGAACATTTGCCCAAATGTTACCAGTTCTCTTTAAAAAGAGCTGTATAATGAGCATCTCCTGTAATCCAAACACAGTTGTTTAAATGAATTAAAATCCGCAGTACCTAAAAACTGCCTGGGACATAGTTGTTTGTTAAGTAAATGTAGTGTGATACCTGTTTAGTATAATTAAATAGATAAAGCATCTATTTCTCAAATAAACTTTCATTCCTCTATGAAAGGATGTTTATTTTCAAGTTTTGCCCTATTACTAATGATGCTGCAGTGACTGTATTTTTTGCCATTATGAACAGTGCTTCATATGCTCATGATAGTATTTCTGTAGAAATGATTCCCTGTGAGAATGCTGGTTAATAATACTGCTAACTTGCCCTCAAATGATTGTACCCTTTTATATTCACTTTCTCAAAAGGTGTTTTGTTTAAATCTCCCTGCTAGCCAGCATTTGATGGTAACATTTTTTTAATATCTTACTAATTTTCTAAAACTTGAAAACATCTCATTTTAATTTTTGTCTTGCTTCGGTAACAAGTAAGTTAAATATTTTTGGCTAGGTTATATCCTTTCCTTGTTTATTTTGGTTCTGAATTTTTCTTTTCTTTGACCCATTTATCTATTACCACACTGTTTTAATTGTTGTAGTTTTATAATATATTTTGGTACTTTCTTTTTTAAAAAGCTTTGGGCTCTTTGCATTTTTCTTCCAGATGAAATTTAGAGTCAACTTTTCAAGTTTTATAGAAAGTCTTATTGGAATATTATTTGTGATTGCTTTGAATTTATAGATTAATTTCAGAAGAGACATTCTTTTGAGTTTTTCCTTCTAGGAGAATAGGTATGTCTCCTTGTTTCTTCTATTACAATATTTGCTGTTAAATGTACCGTTTACGTGTATTGTAGAAAAGAAAAGTATATGTGTATTCAGCTTCATAGAACATTGCAAATACCGTATTTTGCTGTATATAATGCACACTTTTTTGCCCAAACTTTTGAGGGAAAGTAAGGATTCATATTTTACATGGGTATAATGATTACATATCATAGGCATGATAATCCTAGGTATAATACACACAAAACCATGGGTGCATATTATATCCAGGAGCATATTATACACAGCAAAATACGGTACCTTAAAAGCCTTCTTAGTGTGTGTCTCTCCCCCGAAGCAAAGTATTCCCTGTCCCATCACCATGTTCATTTTGAATTTAGTTTTAATTAATTACCCCTTGCTTTTCTTGATAATTTTATTATATTGTTTATTTTCACCTGTTTCTGTACTTTATTTAAATAGAATCATACTGTATATTCTGGGAATTACTTTTGTTAAACATGTGCCTGAGATTCATCTCTGTTGAAGCATGTGCCTGTAGTTCAGCCATTCAGAAATTTTTCAGTCTCAGGACTCCTTTACATTTTTAAAAACTATTGAGGGCCTCAAACATCTTTTGTTTATGTGGATTATATCATATTAGACATTGGAAATAGCCAATTTTAAATATAAATATGGCATCTATTGGTGTATTTATATATACCAACAAATATGTATTTACTTTATGTGTTTATTATGTATATATTTATTGGTATATAGAAATACTATATACTCTAAATACTATAAATACTGTATTGGTATCTCTAAAAATAATAGTAAGCCAATTACACCTTAACGTAATAACATTTTTAATGAAAAATAACTTTTCCGAAACAAAAAAAATATTAGTGACAAAAGTGGCTTTGTTTTACTTTTTTGCAAATATCTTTAATGACTAGAAGCTCATGTCTGCTTCTGCATTCAATCTGTTGACAATATATTGTTTTGGTTGAAGTGTATGGAGAAGATTTGGCCTCAGCTGTGTAATTAGAAGTCAGTTGCAAATAGCTTTTTTCTCTTTGTGGTGTTTTTTGTATGTTTGTTTGTTATGATAAGCAGAAGTTCTTGATTTAAAAGTTTTTCATTTTTTGTCAGTATACTTGGAATTGTTATATGTGTAGTTTGGATTATAAATATAATTTTAACTTTATTCTCATGTGGATAACCAGTTGTGGTAGAAGCCATTGAATCCACTTGGGTCTGAAGTTCTGCTAGTGGCAGATTTTTGGCTATTTGATATGTCTAATGGTTACAGGATTACTGAGATTTTAAAAAAAATTTTGTCAGTTGTACTAAGTTAGATTTTTCTGTGATTCTGTCCATATTCCCTGGGTTTTTAATATTTATTTTCAGAGTTGTTAAAAGTGCCTTCTTACTACCGTTAATGACTGAAGCATATGTAATTATGTCTCCTTTATTTCTGATAATATTTTTGGTCCTGTTTCCCCTCCCCCCTTTCTGTTAATTCATTTTGCCTGTAGTTTATCAGTTAGAATTACCTTTCCAGTCAATTTTTTTTGGCTTTGTGGTTGTCTCTGTCAAATATTTATTTTTTTAATAAAAAACAAAATATTTTGAGATAGCTGTAGAGTCATATGCACATGTATGTTTTAGATTATCTCTCTTAAAGAGCACAGATTGGAATTTTCTGATGCAATTTTAAAACAATTTTAGCTGAGACATACAACCTATTTATATTAACTGCAGTTGCTCTTATTTTGTGTTGTTTGTCCTGACTATTCTATATATTTCTTTTCTCTCCTTTATGGTTATTTTTTAAATAGTGACTTAATAATCTTTTGTTATTCCATTTTCCTCATATACTAGTTTTAAAATTCTGTACTTTTTTCTTTTTATGATTATTTTAGAAATGTCTTGCATCTTTGACTTTTTCAAAATCTAAAAATAACCAATATTTTTACCTTACTTTTAGACAATATAAGAACCGTAGAAGTTTGACTTCATTCAACCCCTTCATGATTCAACTGTTACTATCATATTCTTAAATTTAAATTAAAAAAAAATACTCTTACCAAACAGAGGGAAACCTGTTTAGAATTGTGTATTACAGTCATTACCTTCCCACATTTTTTACTGATTTCTCTATTAGTCATTGCTGCTTTTATATTTTAGACTATCCATCTAGGGCCATTTTCCTTCTGCTTAAAAGTACATTGTTTGGAATGGCTTTCATTGAAGGTCTTTTGATGATGAACTCTCTTAATTTACTTGAAAATGTCTTTGTTTCACTGTCATTTATGGGAGATAGTTTTGCTGATTAGAGCAGTTAAGCAGTCATTTTTCTTTTAGTACATCGAAGATCTCATTCCTCTGTCTTTTGGTTTTCATTATTGCTATTAAAAAGTCAGCTCTCAGTCTCTGAATACCTCTCTGGCTGCTTTTTTCTCTTTGTCTTTGGCTTTCTCATGTTTCACAGAAATATATATCCTTATTTATCTTGCTTGGGATTACTTGGCTTCTTAAATCTGTGAATTGAAGGTGTTTTGAAATGTGTTTATTGGC